TTGACGCAATTCCAACCGGCCCTTTGGAGCGTAGGTGGTTTGACGAATTCGTCATTCCAACCCCGTCCACCTCTTCCAGGAAGGGTTCATCACTGCTCCTTACTAACGCACACACCTCCCCAACTCGACCGGCCCCTGATCAGGTCAATGCCAGCTTCCGCCTTTATCTGTAACAAAAGAAAGTTTGATGGATACTTGCGTAGGTGCTGCCGAATGGCAGCAATCTGGACCTTGAGCCAAATTGCGAATTGCTCACTCACGTGGGGGCCATATGACAATCAGCTCCCCCCCTCTGCATCATCCCCCCCCACTCCGAGTCATCTTCTTCATCCTCCTCCTCCTCTCCCTCCTCCCCCCCTCATCCCTCCTCCTACTCCTCCTCTCCCTCGTCCTCCTCCTATTCCTCCACATCCTCCTCCTCGCCCCCTGGCATTACCAGACGCCCGCCCTGCCCGCTGGCCCGCGGATGGCGAACTGGGGGTCGTACCCCCTGCGCGTGAGCTCGGCCGCCATCTCCTCCGGGTAGCCGAACTTCGACATCAGCAGCTGTCATTCCGGGCGGAGCGCGCGGAAGAGGACAACGGAATGATGGGAGGCACGGGACGAAGAAAAGGGGGTCGGAGGTATGGGGGCAGCTGGAAGAGAGGCGAAGACGAGGGCGGGCCACTGGAGACGGAGGAGAAGTGAGAGGGAGTGAGGGACAGGAGGCAGGAGTGTGAGGAAAGCAGGGGGGGGGGCATCGGAGAAGGGTGGGAGGCAGGAGAGACGAGGCTGGGAGGGACGGGAGAGGACGGGAGAGCTTGTGGCGGGAGGTGGAGAGAGGGAGGCCACGGGGGTGAGAGTGGGACAGGGGGGCCTGGAGACGAGCGGCAGAGAACCGACAGGGGCCAGAAGACCGAAGAAACTCAACTCAAGAATTCGTGCGTGGGCACGGCGCTTCCACCCGGCCACCTGGTGTGCCGCGCCGAACTGATCCCACTCCCCCACTCTCGCGAAGGAGAGCCTCATCCCCACCCCCATTCACCCTCCACCCCCGACCTACGTCTCCTTGTTACACCTGCCTCCCCCATCTCCTGCTCCCCCGCATCTCCCCCTCCTCCCCTCGTGCCCCCTCATCCTTCTCTGTTTCTCCCGTTTTCCACCCACCCACCCCTTTGCCTTCATCCCTCATGCGTCCTACTTATTCCCCGACCCCTTCACTTCTAAGAGCATGTGGGGCCGCACAGGAGACGTTGTAGATAAGGTCGAGCATCGTATGCTTGTACCTCACGAGGGTGTAGTCGTAGTCGAAGCCGACCACCTTTCTGGCAAACTTAACTCCCGCAGTTGCGGGTAAGAGTGAGGGGGCGGCGGGGTCGTCGGTAGTCTGCGGGGCTCTGAAGAAGCCCGCCGCACGCGTCGATGTCTTACACACTGCATTGCAGAATGAGCCCGTCGCAGGTGCCGAATTTTCGTCAGGGGTGGGTCGCGCGGGGTGGGTCGCGGGTGGGTCGCGGGTGAGTCGAGGGCGGGTCGCGGGCGACTACGAGACTGTTCGTTGACATCTGCCCGCGTGTCAGTCAACATGTGAATCCCAAACGCTCGATACCTGCCCGCTTCGTCTTCAATCGTACCCGCCTTGGGGGTGTCCTTTTTTTACCTGACACGTATAGTTGGCGCAGCCCCTAAAACAGGAAGAGGAGGAAGACAGGACACATGATCGACCCACGAACCCGGAAAGGAATATAGAAATGTAAGGCATGGCAACGTTTTCAAGACACCTGATTGGGCGACGGGCAATTGCGATGCTGAGTGTATCAATTTTGATGTACCGTCCCAAGAGCTGTGCTGTGCTGCGCCGTGCTGAATTGCGATGTGCCATGCCACGAGTGTGTCTATAGCGTTGTGGATCGAGTCCTCATTTGCATCCGAGTCCTGACCGAACTCATCTTGATCTTAAGCTCGAGCTGCCTGAGCACATAGTAGCTGCCCCAGAGCTACTTGACAAGAGGACAGGCCAGGGGGACGCGCTACGGAACGTCCCAAAGGACGCGCGAGGCGACATGCCAAAGGACGTGCCATGGGGACACACCGCAGGACGTGCCAAAGGGACGCGCTACGGAACGTGCCACTGGACGTGCCACGGGACGTGCCATGGGACGCGCCGCGCGACGTGCCAGGGGTACTCGCCACGGGACGCGCCACGAAACATGCCAGGGACCGTGCTGCCAGGGCCACGGTCTCTCGTAAACTACGCTGCGTCCACGCTCCCAATGCTGCGCTCCCTCGTGAATTACGCTGCGTCCGCCTTCCAGGGCCACTTTCCTTAGTAAATTACGCTGCGTTCGGACTCTCAGAACTGGGCATCCTGGGGCGCCCAGGCCGCTCGAATTCTGTAAACAAGCATTTCGCTTGAGACATCCTCGAAGCCTCTCGCTCGAGACATCCTCAAGACCTGGGCACGTGAAAACAAGCATTTCGCTTGACAGATCCTCTGAATTCAAGCAAGCGTTTCGCTCGAGACATCCTCAACACATTCTGAAAAACAAGCGTTTCGCTCGAGACATCCTCAAACATATTTTCGCTCGTAATTTATCGCAAATGCTTTCGCCGACCCTACAGCCGTCGGAACCGGGGGTCAACACACTAAAAGAGCACCCTGGGCCTAAGCCCTTTCCGGGAAAAACGTATCCACCTGCCCCCCTTCTGGGGCCACCAGGCTGCAGGCCGAAGGTTCGCAGTTCCCTGTACCAGTTGCAGCTTCCAGTTTCCACTGTTACAGTTCTGCTTCATGCTGCTTATTGTTCCTTGTTGATGGACAGTGCGAGGGGGGGAGGCCCAAAACGGGCAGGTTTTGCACGCCCTGAGCGTGTTGTCTGAATTGCTGGGGTGGGACAAGTTGACACCCCTCGCGCAGATCGGCGGGGTCAGGGTCCAAAAACACAGGAATTTGCTACATGTCTGAAATTTGCTGGCACCCCTCACGCAGATCGGCGCGGTCAGGGTCAAACAAAAACAAGGGATGTGCCACATGTCTGACATTCGGTGGCACCCCTCACGCAGATCGGCGGGGTCAGCCCTCACGCAGATCGCCGGGGTCAGGATGCAAAAAACAACAAGGATTTGCCACATTTCTGAAATTCGGTGGCACCCCTCACGCAGATCGGCGGGGTCAGGGTCCGAAAACCCAGGGGATTTGCCACATTTCTGACATTCGGTGACACCCCTCACGCGGATCGACAGGGTCAGGGTCTGAAAACACGTGGGATTCGCCACATGTTTTGAAATTCGGTGGTACCCCTCACACAGATCGGCGGGGTCAGGGTTTAAAAAATATAAGGGATTTGCGACATTTCTGAAACCCGGTGGCACCCCTCACGCAGATCAGCGCATAGCTCTCGCATAGCGCATTCTCCGAGATAGGGGGCCGGCGGCAGGGGGCGACGCCCTTACGGATCCGGCCGCTCCCGCCCAGCGGGTTGGGCCGTGCGAGACCTCTCTGACACAGTGTCTGGCACAGTCTTTGGCCCCCTTCTCCAGTGCCTGGTCAAAAACCTCCTGAAAGTCCCTCCGAGGGGGCCCCACTCTGCCGCCGCCCCCCCCCCCCCTCAAGGTCTCAAACGGCCCGGGGACGACCCAAGGGCGCCCCAAGCCCGTCCAGGAGAGTCCCGAGCAGTCCAAGAGAGCCTCCAGACGATTCCTCATCGCTCCAAGACGCCCAAAATGGCCTCCAGACGGCCCAAGACGCCTCCAAGACGGCCCAAGAGGGTTCCAAGAGCACCCCCAAAGACAGCCCCGAGAAGCAAAAATCATTTATTTTTCAATGGTTTTTGAAGGATTTTCGCGTTCTCGCCATTTCGGCTTACCGATGCTCTAAGACGGCCCAAGAGGCCCCTGAGATCGCCCCAAGACGGCCCAACAAGCCCCCAAGAGAGCTCCAAGACGGCCCAAGAGGGCCCCAAGACGGCCCAAGAGGCCCCCGGGACGGCTCAAGAGGGGCCCCAGGACAGCCCCAAGAATGCACCCAGAAGGGGAACCCGAATGAACATTTCGAGCTTTCGGTCCCAAGAGGCTCCCAGAGGCCCCCGGGAGGCCCCCAAGAGGCCCCAAGAGAGCCCCAAGAGGCCCCAAGAGGGCCCCAAGAGGCTCCTGGGGCCCCAAGAGGCCCCGAAACTCCCCCGCAGAGGCCGCCGAGAGCCCTCTCGCGAGACCCTAAGAAGCGTCCATGAGGACTCCGACCCAAAACCCACGCGTCACGACTTTCGATGCTGCGCGCCACTTCGGTAAACTCCCAGGGAGCGGCCGGTGGTGCGCCGCCAGCGTCCTCGATAGCGAGGAGGACAGGAACGTGGGAAGGGAAGCAGGAGGAAAAGGGCACGGGGGAGGGACAACGATGGAACACGAAAGAGATTGATCAAGAAAAGGGTTAGGAGCCAGAACACAAAAAAAAAACATAACCAGCCCGGCGGGTCGGACGAGCGGACTTTACTAACTAGCGGGTCGGGCGGGCGGGCCCAGAAGGCTGGGTCGCTCGGGCGGACTGTAGCGTCTCTCGTGCATGAATCGCGATGAAGTTTCTAATGATAGCGCGATTCCCAAGTAAACCGTGAGGAAATCCACTGCGAGAGCGTGATTCCTGAGTGTCGAGGGCGCGGCGCCTGAATAGTTTGCGAGGAGGTCCCACGCGAAAACGCGATCCCGTGACCCGTGGTACGTTGTATGGACGTCCCGAGCGCGAGCGCAATGTTGCAAAAACATATGAGGAAGTAGCGGGCGGGAGCCGTTGACACATGAGGAAGTAGCAGGCGGGAGCCGTTGACTTGTGTTGATATTGTTGATCCCCCCTTCGGTGCCTTTTGCATTTTTCCGTTACAATGCTCCTCCAGGGGCTCGCACCTTCTCGTTTGCAAAATACAATATTGGACCTCAGATTGGGCCGCTGGCCCCGGAAATACAAAAAAGAACGGCTCCCGCCTGATACGTCCTCACAGTGTACTTCAGATTCGTGCTCTCGCGCGGACTTATTTTTATAACTTATCCAGGAATAGCGCTCTCGCGTGGTCCTTCCTCGCACCTTATTGCGGCGCCGAGCCACCCAACACTCAAAATCACGGTCTCGCTTTGGATGCCCTCACGATTTACGGAGGAATCGCGCTATCGCTCAAAACCTCCTTTGAACTCATGTTGGATTGGCGCTGCAACGACCCGCACAATCGACCCGGCCGTCTCGGCCCGCCCGCCCGACCTGCCCGTTAGGGTCCGCCCGCCCGACCCGCCCGTTTGGGTTCGCCGATTGCACTCCTGTTCCTCAGCCCGCTCCTGCAAAATCCATCTCTCGTGCTCCATACTCTCCATTTACCTGCTTCAAAGGGTTGCGCAAACTACGAATGGCAGGTAAGGAAGATATACCTCCAAGGGGGGTACGATCGAAGACGAAGAAGGCGGGTATCGCGGGTTTGGGGTATTCATATTGAACGACACGCGAAACAATGAGAACGAACTATCGTACAATTAGTGTTGCTGATGCTGTAAACCGGAGCCAGGGGCACAGCTAGGAGACCCATTACTTCCCCTTGCAGAAAACAAGGTGCGACCCCTGGGAAGGACACTGCAAAAGATAAACGCATAGTATACTGGTGGGGCGATCGGCAATAATCCCACCAGTGCTTTGGGCGTAGGTGGTCTAACGAGTTCTATTTCCTGGTCCAAAAAACCCTCTTCAACTCCCTTTCGGGGAGGGGCACCCTCACCTCTCACCTCTTTGAGTTTTTGCTTGGGGAGCGCGAAGAGTCAGAGCGCCCAATATGGCCCAAGCTGGCTCTATGAGTGCCTCCGGTGCTCGAAGATGGCCTCCAAGGAGTCCAATTGCTTGGCCACACTGCGGCCAAACGGCTTAATCGCACGAGTGTTTCCACAAAGAAGGGGACGTTGGTGATTCACCGTAAGCGTCTTCGATCCGCCGCCCCCTGTTGATTCATCAAAGGGGTGCATGGAGTGCCAGGTCTTTGACTGTTGAATCCGATTCAAAATTTTCCCAATGCGGTGTAGACCGATCGCGCAAGCCACCCAGAAAGGAACAGCCAAACAGGTGGGAAGCAAGTCCCCTGACGATTCCAAGACGGCCAAGATGGCCTCCAGCATGGCGACGAAGGCCTCCAGAAAGGCAGAGACGGCCCCAAGATGGCTCCAAGACTGCGAAAGATGGCCTCAAGACGGCTCAAGGGGCACCGAAGCCAGCCAAGAAGGTATCCATGGTTTTAGCGTGCTCCCCTTCTGACGCTCCAAGACGCCCACAGAGGCCCCAAGATCGCCCCGAGGCCCAAGAGGGCCTCAAGCGGCCCGCAAGACGGCCCAACGGGTCCCCTAGATGGCCCACGAAGTTCTAGGATGGCCCCAAGACGTCCCCCTCCAAGACGGACGTAGAGCGCCCAAATAGGAACCCACGACTGCACATGGAAGGCCCCAAAACGGCCTCCGAAGGCCAAGAGGTTGAGTAGAGGCTCCCAAGAGGCCACAGGAGGCCTCAGGAGGCCCTCAAGAGGCCTCCAAGAGGCCTCCTGGGCCCCCAAGAGACCCCGCAGAGGCTCCCAGGAGACCTCCAGGAAGCCCCAAGAGGGTTTCGCCTCCTTCTCCTCCCTCTCATCCATCTTTCTCTTCCTCTCCCAAGTGTTCTCCGCAAGGGGGTCACAACAGCTGGGGGAACACATAGGCTAATATATTGGCCAGCCTTCTGGCCGCATGGTAGTTTCCAGAAGGCAAGGGGCAACAATGATTTGCCGTAGGCGTCTTCGATGTCGTTCGACGCTGGCTAACTACCTGGAAGAACCTGCTGGCGACGCGGGCGGGCTGTAGAACGCGAGAGCAGGCAGCCGCGTGTAAACTCTACACCTGCAGGTAAAATATAAGAAAACCCGGTTGGAGTTCAGAATTGAAGGATGTCCGCAGCCAAATTAACCCCAGCGGGGGTGTCTGATACCTAAGCTTCGATAGGATCCGTAGGGGTAAAGGTCGAAACTGGTCGCAGTGGGAGGGCGTCGCGAAGCACAGGGAGGGGGCCAAAGGGGGGCCGCCGCCTCGGCCACGCCGAGGTCGACATACGTGTTGGCGTATATCCGGTCCTCCAAGCCGACCTGTGCACAACGCCGCGCCAGAAACTGCGGCGCCCAACTGCCAGCAGGCCGCACACACACGCGGCCGTGCTCACACATGGGGGACGAACAAAACAAATACTCTGGCGCCCTTGCGCAATGCGGGGCATAAGTACATCAAGATTGCTACAACGGGGGCGATGACGCAACATGGACGCATGTGATTTTGCGAGCAGCAATCGGAAGGCTCGCAAGCCCCCGATCAAGATCGAAGGGTTACGTAATAACAAATCACTCCCGTTGGCTGTGCCATGCGCCCGTTGCACCCAACGTATCCCGCAGCAGCTCCTGAGAACCCCCGCGGGATACTTGCAGGCGCAACGTTATGGCCATCGCCCGGCAGATGGTCTGTTTCACAAATCACCCCCGTTGATGGTGCCATGCGCCCGTTGCGCCTAACGCATCCCACAACAGCTCTCCAGAGCCCCCCCAGGGACGGCGAGGTCCCCCTCAGATCCCCGCGGTGCCTCACTCCGCAGGACCCACCAGCAGCCCTCGAAAGTGGCGACAACGTCGCAGATCGCATCTCCCAAGGGACGGCGAGGTCCCGCTCAGATCCCCGCGGTGCCTCACTCCGCACGACCCACCAGCAGCCCTCGAAAGTGGCGACGGTGTCGCAGATCGCAGCCCCCCAGGGGCGGCGAGGTCCCGCTCAGGTCTGCGCGGTGCCTCACTTCGTAGTGGCGGGCGGCGGCGAGCGGCAGCGGGCGGCGGCGAGCGGCGGCGGGCGGCGGCGGGCGGCGATGGGCGGCGGCGGGCGGCGGCGGGCGGCGGCGGGCGGCGGTGGGCAGCGGCGAGCGGCGGCGGGCGGGCGGCGGGGCGGCGGCGGGCGGCGGCGGGCGGCTGCGCGCGGCGGCGCGCGGCGGCGGACGGCGGCAGGCGGCAGCAAGCGGCGGCGAGCGGCGGGGGGCGGCGGGCGGCGGGGTGCGGCGGGGGGGCGGAGGGGGGAGGCCGGCGGGCGGTGGGGCGCGGCGAGGTGGCGGCGGCGGCGGCGGCGGTGGGCGGCGGACACCAACTGGACCAGGTCAAGAGCACGTCGAGATGGAGCAGACGACGAGCCGGCTGAGAAGAGGAAGGCAGATGAGCACACGGCCGAGAACAGTGACGAGTTGCTGGGCGCCATCAACGCGGCCAGACGACTGGACGGACTACAGCCACTACCCAAGAGACCGAAGCAGACCGACGTGGCGACAGCGGCCAGCGCCTCGAACAGCAGTGAGGGCGACGAGCTGCTGAAACTGCACGAGGACGCAATCACGCTCTACTGGGCCAACGCGGCGAGAAAGGATTCGGTGGTGGAGGCCAAGCTCAGCGTAGACGAGCAGTTCGATGAGGCGAAGGCCAAGGCGCTGCAGCCATGGATCGAGAACCAAGCTTGGCAGGCAGTGAAGGAGCATCTAGCGGACGCTGGAGAGGCGTGTCCCATGCGGCTCCTGTCAAAGTCGAAGATGAAGGATGGAGTGAAAGAGGCGAGCGCGAGAGTGATCCTACAGGGCTTTCACCTGGAGGAGGTAACCAACACCAACGTGGAGAAGGCGAACCCTACTCTCACGCGACTGACGAGGTTCCTCATCCTGCTTATTATGCGCCAACAGGCTTGGAAGATGGTGGCAGCGGACGTGAAGAGCGCATTCCTGCAGACGAAGGACATCAAAGAACTAGGAATTCTGATTTTCAGCAGGCCGGCGAACGACATGCGACGCCGAATGGCAAAGATGATGGGCCTGCAAGGCGACGAGATATTACAAATACTGAAACCCGCTTTTGGAGATGTGCGAGCCCCTAGACAGTGGAATCAGACGATCACGGAAGCCATGCTCGAGATAGGCTTCCTGAAGCACGCGCTGGAAAAGTGCTGTCTCCTGTCGTACCGCCTGGCGCTCGACGGGGCGATCCGTTTCCTGGCAGGCGGGCGACGAACAGCACCACGTGTTGGACGGCGTGATGGGGCTACACGTGGACGACTTCATCGGCGGCGGCGAGAACTTCGTGAGCGAGGAGGCCCTCTATAACAAGCAAGCGTTCGAGGGCACCTCATTGGATCGGGTGCAGGGGCTCAACCAGAGGTTCAAGTTCGGCAACTGGGAGGTCTCGAACAGCATTGTCTCTGCGGCATAAAGAACACGCAGTCGTTCTCGCGAACCGAGATCGAAGCGAAGGCCGAGGCCTGCATCCACACGGCCAAACCGATCAACATCGAGAAGACGAGGAGGATGCACCCAGACGACCCGTGCACACCGAATGAGATCAGTCAGTTCAGAGGGCTGAGTGGGGACATGCAGTGGACACCGTCTCAGTGCATGGTGCAGGCGGCGGCGGCGGTTTCGTTTGCGCAAGGCGACGTCAGCAAGGCGACGGCCGACACCTTACTGGAGGCCAACAAATCACCGAGGTTCATGAAGGCGAGTGGGGATGTGGGCTTCCGCGTCAAGTACGTGGTGACCTAGAGCAAGCTAAGGCTTGGAATATACTGGGACGCGTCCTGTGCTACGAGGCCGAATGCGCAACCTCAGGGCGGCTACGTGATCTTCGTGATCGAAGACGCCAGGATCGACGACGGCCAGCCAACGCAACTGGTCATCGTAGAATGGGCGAGCAAGAAATTGGTGAAGATCTGCCGGAGCTCTCTGGCAAGCGAAGCCCAGAGCGCCAAGAATGCAATGGACGCGCTGGAGCTTGCGATGACGATGCTCACAACGATGCTTTTCCCCACGATGCACCTGACAAGCACGGAGATGTTGCAGTTACTAGGGCGAAGCCCATGCATCACGGATTGCATGGCGCTGTCCGACGCGGCGAACTCTCAAGCGGCAGCTGGAGGTTTGCAAGAACGCACGACCGAGATCGAGATCAAGCAGGTCAACGAAAAGATGCGGGAGTTCGGAAGAGTTTTGGGATGGACCAACACACATCAGCAGATGGCGGATGGTCTTACGGCTTACGAAGTTGTAGGTGCGGCAGCAGTTCGTGGAGAAGCTAAGGAGAATAACGCACACACTCAAGTACGACGCGACGTTCACGGCGGGCAAGAAGATCAGTCAGAAGTAACGAGCTCAAGCCGCGAAAGAACTTGACGAAGTAGCGGCAGATTTCAACGAGGCGAACAAGGCCGAGGACGCGGAGGCCGAGGGATCAGCTGAGAGAACAGCTGAGAGAACATGTCCGAGCGACAATCGGTAGTACCCGTACGGCAAGAAAGATTGCCCAAATCGTGACGGCGGCGGCCGCGAAGTGTGGCTTGAGCAGGAGATCGAATTGATGGAAGATGGTATATCCCCGGTGGTATATGATGGCATGGTTGCAAACATATTTCATATTATTTTTGGGGAAGGGCCAAAAAGGGTTCCGTTTCCCTCCGTGTGTCAATGGCACATGATCCGTGCCAATGTAGTTCCATGTATCATGACATGCATTGCAATAACGCAAAGCGCTGTATGCTTTGTGGTGATGCGATGTACGTGTGATGACGCACACGTGAGCTCGCACCGACCCCGTTCCGAATCAAATGCCGAGGGGCCCCTGAGTCAATCAACATCTACGACCGAATGTCTTCGATTCAATGATATATACATATGTATTATTCGTGTACTTAAAATCCATACTTCGTGTGAGAAAATTTCGGTGGTTCCAGAGGAAGACTACCAACACTGGAATCCATCCTGACCCGCCTTGCGAAGAAGGTCCAACCGTGGCGACGAGAAGCCTCCAGGAGTCCCGAGGAGGACGAACAACTCCATGGAGGTCCGCCGATGTCTCGACTGGCCCTCCTCCGAAGTCCGCGCGCCCCACCCACGAACTGGGTCAGAGGAGGCTCGGCTGCGGCGTACTATTTCCGCCGCGACCAAACTGGACCAGCAGAGGCGCATCTTGACTGCTCCCTGGGTCGACTGGGAGGCTTCATGAGGGCATTATCGGTCACTCTTGTGGGATGCGCGCGCTGAGCGTGTACTTGAGCTATCTCGAAGGCTACCCTGAGATCATTTGGGAGGCCATATCATCGAATCACAAGGGCGTGTTTGAACGTTGCTGTGGGCGTAGCGGGTGGCTCTTGGGGCCCCGTGGGCTGTTTCCGCCCCGCGGGCCTTCTTGCACGTGGTCTTGGGCTGCCTGGGAAGCAGGCTCCCTTCCCAGAGAAGCAACAACCTGCATAAACATTGACTTTCGGAGCTCCGCGCGGATTTCTTGGAGCTTGGGGAGGGCCCTGACCGGCACTTGCGAAGGGGGCGTTGCTGTGATAGTGCGCCCCCCCCACCCGAACATGCAACAATTACCAAAGGAAGATTGTCGGCCGCGCGCTGGTGCCCAAATCCCCAGGCCCGGGCGCAAGCCAACGGAAGGAGGGGAAGAAGGAGCATCCTCAAACACAACGTTGAATTCACCGCTGTGTCTGCTGATTTGGGATCGCCCAGGCATGCAAAGCGGATTATGGACTGAGTCTTGCGCGGAAAGAAAAAACACGGGACTACGAGACCCTCGTAGATGGGCCAAGACCGGAGACTTGTCTTACTCCGCTCATCGCCTTCCTCACCGCCATCCTCCTCCCTCTCCGTCTCCTCATCCTCTTTCCTGATGCCCTCACTGGCCTCCCGCGACCCTCCACACAACCGAAAACGACCATTCAACGCCAAACTCACCAGCGCCGACACTTACCGTGATTACATGGCGTCGCGAGGGGGGGGGCTAGCAAAAAAAATGTTGCTGACCCACGACTCGCGGTGTCGGATCCGCCCCGGGATGTCCTGCCAGCCCGATAATTTACAGGGTTGGCGAACATCTCCTGTGAACACAAGCTGGGGCTGGCAAAATAGTTTTCGCCAGCCCATTTACCCTGACGCGACGCGGTGCATTGCAGGGGCGTCAATGTGACCGACGTTCGTCACGACGACGCAGGCAACACCGCTGACAGAGATAACCGTCAAGCGAACCAGAGCGCTTGCTGGCCAGAGCGGCATCGGAGCTCTCGAATCCTCAATTTGAAAAAGAAACGATCAAACCCGAAAGCATTGGCGACACCCGTGCATTTTTAGATCAAGATCGAGTTCAATTCATGCTTTCGCAGGTTCTTCCTCTTCCCCCTCCTCCGCCTCCTCCGACTCCTTCCTGCCTTGTCCTCCTCCGCCTCCTCCTCTTGCCCCTCCCCCTCTTCCTCTTCCTCCTCCTCCGCTCACTCGTCCTGGAGGAGAGAAGAGCTCTCGCGCGAAGTCCGGGAGGCGGCACGGTTCGTGTCTTGTCTTTCGGGTCGGGCCCAGGAGTTGTTCTCCAGGGCGGTGTTCCCTGACTCCGCGGCCTGGTTCGGGCGCAATGCCCCCGACCCCACCTCATGTTACACGCATCGCTTTAATTGGCCAGCCGATGAACTGATGATCGGTGCGGGCATGCATGTTTTCACCGACGGCTCGGCCTTCGAGGGCCATCTGCCGTCCCTAGGGGTGGCGGGATGGGCGGTCGTGGTCACGGACGGGGAGGGGGTCGTCCAGTCGTACATCTGGGGGGTAGTGCCATTTCTGGAGACACCCCATCCAGGCTGCGATAAACGGCGAGGACTTCGCCGTCTTCCAGCTGGTGCTCAATTCTGTGCTGTGCCCAGGCTCCAGCCTGCACATTGATTGTGCGGGCACAATGGATTGCGCTATGGATGCGAGGTCGGCCGCAGGGCCGGACAGCATGAGGGCCCACTGGTGGGCACAGGTGCATAAACTCGATGATTGCCGTGCGTTTGAGGTTCCTTCCCATTGCGCAGAGAAGGGCGTGATCGATGGCCGCCTGACGCGTGTTCAATGGCTGGGCATTGGCTTCGATTTTGCTTGGTAAACATCCGTCCCGCAAGGACGGTCGTGTCGGAGCGGCGACTTCGCTCTCCGACGCCTCGCGCACCTTCCTGGCATCGAAACTAGGCCTCGAAGATGTGCCAGCTCTTGGACCCAGCTGTTGAGCGGGTCGGCGTCGATCTCGTGCGAGGCCTTGCGCTATTTGGATTATCCTCTCGCGCCCAAGCTGAGGCGTTGGGCAGCGAGTCCTTGACAGTAGAAAGCGCGAGGCGGCGGATGTTTCGGACGAAGGCTAACCTTGTTCGTTTTTGATGTGATGCATGTTTATTGCGATGATTTCGTTTGTCGTTGTGGTGCTCCTACTCCAACTTACATAACACCTTCCTCCACTTCCTATTCCTATCATGACTCCCTCCATCGGAGTGCGCACCAGTCTGGGCAACGCTTATATTTGCCAACTTGGCATGGGCACCATAGGCCCATGGTGCTCATCCTGTGGTTGTATATACTAGAGCTAATAGCCCACGCAGGCGCCACATTTGGCTGGATAGAACCCGAGCCCACTTGTAGCGGCGCTGGGCACCCCTTCCTGGCGCGCGGAGCGCGCCACGCGGCGCCAAAGGCACCGCCAGGGGACTGCAGCGCCGATCAGAGAAATCCGCCAGGAACTCCGACAATGTAATCCTAAATGTTTCTGCATGCCGTCGTTCCTTCTTCGACCCGCGGGCCTTTGTGCCCGTGGTCTTGGGCTGCCCGAGAAGCAAGTTCCCTTCCAACCGCAGCTGGTTGAAGCGCTTCTCCGCGCGTTCGAGGATGGCCTCCCCGGCCGCCCCGCGCCCCGACCGCGCCGGGGGCGCCCGCAAGGCGGCCCCAGAATGGTGAAGGGCGAACGGAGGACGAGGAGGAGGACGAGGACGAGGAGGACGAGGAGGAGGACGAGGATGATGATAATGATGATGAAGCGCCTTGAAAGGTCGGTCCTCCCAAAACACAAACCTGAGAAGCCACCAATACGCCAAGTGCGCACGGTAGAGAAAGAGGGAAACGGGAGGAGAGGCGGGAGAGGAAAGAAGCGGAGGAAAGGTGAAGCCCAGCCCAGGATTGAAACCCATGATACTGAAAGAAATCATGAATGACAGACTGTCCAATATCCCAAATGAATCCCACCACAAGGTCTCTTTTGTGTTGAATGAAGGTGAGAAACATGAGAAACATAATGCAAGATAATGAAAGAGTTGCCCAAATTGATTAACAAGATCTTGAGTAACAATTGGAGCCAACCTTGAGATCACATGGTCCCAAGGTCTAAAGTAAGTAAGAAGTGAAGAAAACTTCCATTAAGTCCCATGAAACCCATTGAACATGAGTAGCAGTCAAGACGGATATATGTACTGAAAGAGAATCTGAAAGATAAACTGAATGTCCCAAGCACGCAATGAACCCAGAAGATACGGAGGCATACAAGATGAACTGTCAAGGCAGAATGAGATCCCAACCGTGAGAACCCACACCAGGCATGTCAAGAAATATGGAATATGGTTGAATTCAAACAGGTATGGAGAACGCAAGATGGCTGGAAATGTTTATAACCTTTTGTATTTTGCCAACCAACATCGTAGAAGTACATGCAAGAGAGATTGAGAGAGACTGAGAGTCCTCCAAAAGCCGCAGGCCCATGCACCGCAGACACCAGGAGATTCAGTCTGAGGGAGTCCCAGGAATGGCCTTCACGGGCACTTCCAACGCCACTTTTCCACGAAGAAATCTCCGTCCCACCAGTAGTCGGACAGGTACCATACAACTGGGTGAGGCCAGCCCGAATCGGGATCGATCCACGTGTCAAAGTACTCCGTATACCATACTTTGGTGTAGACTTTGTCCTCTTCACAGTAGTTCCACATTCCGCCCGAGCCGTGTGTCCACTTGAGACGCTTCTTGGCGGCGAGCTTGACTGGGAGGCTGCGTTTAGCCATCCCCTGGAGTTGGATGTTTCCCAGCCGTCTCAGACAAGAGCTCCCGTCAGGATTTGAGGCGAAACGGCTACTGACCAGCAACCAATTCTTTCCAAGGAACTCTACGAACCCTTTCATCGGGACCCCGAACGTTGACATACAGACCATTAGGAGGAGGAGGAGGAGGAGGAGGAGGAGGAGGAGGAGGAGGAGGAGGAGGAGGAGGAGGAAGAGGACGAGGAAGAGGAGGCCGAAGACGACCGGACGGCGCTCGGCCCCCTGACCGGACGGCGCTCGGGAGGGGGTGGCGATTTAAGGCCACACCTCGCGGAGCCGGCTCCTGGTGAACACGTAGAGCACGGAACGACCAGCTTGGCGGATGCGACTCTCCTAAGTCGCCCTGTCTCGAGTCGGCCCGGCGGCCCCAGGGCCCCTCGGCATACGCATTCACTGCGAATAAACACGCCTGCCGGAGGGAGGAGACAGGGGAAGGGAGGGGACGAGTGCGTAGGGTAGAAGGAAGGAAGGGCGGGGAAGGGCGGGGGGGGAAGGCAAGATAGGTGCGCTCGCGACATATCGGACATCCCACCCCGCCCACGCATCCTGTCCCACTGCGCTGAACTGAATTATTCCCCACACGCCAGACGGGGGGATCCTAGATGATCTTGCCATTCAGCATGACCATCACGTGTGATGCGTAGCGAGAACCTCGATATGTGCACTAAGTGTCAGCTCCAAGTCTGTCCCCGGGGCCAGCGCGTAAGACAATTAACAGACCCGAAATCGTTGCACCGCACTTCCACGGTGGCGGCACGGCCCTGCCCAGGCCGCGCCCTCGCTCTCGAGAGGCCTTCCAGACGGAGTCCGAGCAGATGGGGTCGGAGGATGGCGCCGCATCGCCGATGCATCGACGAGGTATCGACGATGCATCGGCGACGTCGGCAATGCGTAGGCGACGCCGGCGTGGAGAAAGCCGGCTCCACATCGAACCGCATCGCCGATGCATCGGCGATGCGGCGCGATTCTTCGACACCGTGTACTCGGACCCCATCTAGGAAGCCTAGACTCTCGCAGCCCTCCTCAACTTTCGCCTGCGACCATAAGCAGGCGGCGCAACCGCCGGCGCCCCAACGCGGTGCCGACTCAGCTGGGTACCTTCGGCAGCTGCGCGATGCTGCGCGCAGCCAGAGGCGAACTCTGCAGCGTTGGCCCTCGCGCAGCGCGAGTCGCCGAGGTGCAGGGCTTGCCCATGCGCTGGCGGTCGCTCGCTGCAGCCCAGGCTCGGCCGCAGACTGCCCTAACATAGCCACGAACGCAAATCCCACACAGAGCGCGCGAGAACGCGCGCAATGCGGGTGCCTGCCGTGCGCCGAGCCGGGACCCTGATAGCAGCAAGGGGTGCAGCCAGGACAGAGGAGAGAGCGCGGTCAAGTGGACCTTAGTGTTTTCAACTAGGGATCGTGGCCGTACGGACCAAGCTGTAGCTGGCATTGGGCCGAGAGCACGATTCCTGAAAAGATTGAGACGAAATCTCAGACGAAGCGGCTGTCGGCACCGGGCGGGCACGGGCTCACCGCCACCTGTGTGGGACTCGTCACGTTTGTGGCCAGTACTGATCACATTCGAGCCCTCTCGCGCACGGCTCGCACGGACGAGACGCTGAGATCCACGACGTGGCAACGAGCTCAGGTTTCCCGAACTATGGGCGGCGGTCCGCGGAG